GTTGAAATCAGCTCAACTGATGTAGCTAAACTGTTTACTAATAATTACTATGTTATGCTGAAATCAGCTCAACTAATGTAGCTAAATTGTTTACTAATAATTACTATGTTATGTTGAAATCAGCTCAACTGATGTAGCTAAACTGTTTACTAATAATTACTATGTTGTGTTGATATCAGCTCAACTAATGTAGCTAAACTGTTTACTAATAATTACTGTTGTGTTGATATCAGCTCAACTAATGTAGCTAAACTGTTTACTAATAATTACCATGTTGTGTTGATATCAGCTCAACTAATGTAGCTAAACTGTTTACTAATAATTACTATTGCACTTTATGTGCTTTTTCAATTATATGATTCATAGTTTTTTCGGATACATTTAGAGTAAAATATCCTACTTTTCCACGGCTGCAGGTCTTAAAAATTAGTTTTTTTGCTACAAAAAAATTCCACTTCTAAAACTAAAAAAATAAATGTAGCATAATGATTTTGAACTATATATCAGATTTTTGTTCTGTGTTCATAATCCAAGTGCATAAAGGATATACGAAATATTCCAAGGAATACTTTTGGGTACATTAAAAGTATAAAAAATTTAACATCCTAAGAGTCTGCCTTTCGAAACTATTCTTAATGTAGACAAAGAAATCTGAAATTTAAACTTTCCAAGTTTCTAATAATATTTTAATCTCAATAATGAGAGGGTGTTCTAATCAGAAATTTGATTTGTTAAAAGACAAGCTAGCATAGTTAATTAAACCCCTTAGCTAAGTACGTCTTTGGCCTTGAATTTTTACTTTTCTTTTGAGTGTGTGGGGGATGGAATAGGGGGTATAACAATAGAAAATTGAAATGAATCGTATTTATTTTAACGAATCGATTTAAGAGATTTTATGTCTGTGTTAAGCAGTTCATTATAAGTGATATTAAGATATAGATAACAAAACAGCATTGTCTGGCTGATGTCACACGTTGTGGTTGTACTCAGCGAGGTCTTCCAAAGGTCAAGAATAAATCGGACAAATACTATGTTCTAGCAGCATTTCAATTTTACGGCCTTAATGATGCAAATGAGGACTTGACCGAGTGAGTAGGTCGGTAACGGAGCACGTGAAGCTGGTGCCAAACGAAAAGTGACGTTTCATAATAACCGGAGCACGGGTACGAAAAGGTCATGTACTATGGCTCTAAACGGTGGTAGGGGCGGCTCACACTCATTCCTATAGCATAAAAGCCCAACCTTTGCTAGTAGGTTTATGTTCGTTGAAAATCATACAGAAAATGGATAAGACACTTTAGGTGAAAAAGTCGTCAAAGATACTGATAAATTATACTGCAGACCCAAAGCTAATGGTAGAGGTATATGTGGGATGAATAATTTCTTACATTAGCGTTAATTATTTTCCACAACGTTACAGCTACTCTGGGCTACCTTATATTGCTATTCCTTGAAGCAAACTTAAAGTTTTTCTGTGCCCTTAAGAAGAAGCGTGTTAGCTTTCGCAGATTCAGTCTTTCAGTTCTAGCGCAACTAACACTCGATCACGCAGCGTTATTAACGCACTCACAAGCGACAAGAGCAACTAGCACTCGATCACGCAGCGTTATTAACGCATTCACATTCGACAAGAGCAGCTAACACTCGATCACGCAGCGTTATCAACGCACTCAGAAGCGACAAGAGCAGCTAGCACTCGATCACGCAGCGTTATCAACGCACTCACAAGCGACAAAAGCAGATAGCACTCGATCACGCAGCGTTATTAACGCTCTCACATACGATGAGATTACACTTGTTTACCGCATCAGTAATGAAAGGCAGAACTCCAGAATTTTCGACAAGTTTTCCTCACATAAGCTTCTATAAAGCGTTTTGAGAAGCTAAAACTGTGTGTGTTTGCAGAAAAATATGTTTTGGAAGATTGAAGACTGTGATGTAAGGTGTGACGAAGTGTACAGACTGGTGTCTCTGATTGATCAGTTTCGGGTAAATTAGCAGGAAAGTACATCGTAGAGTTCAAACTTGAAACAAACTCTTCCAGCTATTTGATTTTAGTAGTATCTGAAATTTTTCATGGATTGTTCCTAACATGTTTTCCATGGTGAATTGAATTTGTAATGGACTACTCCTGCCATGTTTCTATGGTGGTGATTTAAACTTGTAATGGACTGTTGCTGCCATGTTTCTATGTTGGTGGTTTAAACTTGTAATGGACTGTTGCTGTGATGTTTCTATGTTGGTGGTTTAAACTTGTAATGGACTGTTGCTGTCATGTTTCTATAA